TAACTATCACTATCATAATTATTGTTATTAATAACTATGACTCTCTTAAGGTAGCCAAATGCCTCGTCATGTAATTAGTGATGCGCATGAATGGATTAACGAGATTCCCACTGTCCCTATCTACTATCCAGCGAAACCACAGCCAAGGGTTAGAAAACACAGAAATTAGCGAGAATAAAGAGCCGTGAGGATAAAAATTAGTTATTATCACTATAATCATCATCATAATCATCACCACCACCATCATCATCACTACTATCATCATGCCGATTATCGTCATCATCATCCCGATATCATCGTCATCATCATCCCCACCATCGTCATCATCATCCCCACCATCGTCATCATCATCCCCATCATCGTCATCATCATCACCATCATCATCATCATCAGCCTCCTACCTTCTCTGGGCAGTGCGGATCCAGGGAACCACCCGCGTGTCGGAGCGAAGTACGCAGTCACACAGATCGGATCCGTGAACGTAGTCGGCGAACCGTTGCTCTTCTGAACCTGCCGGGAGAACATACGATGAACAATAGAAGAGGCTAGAAAGCATGATGAACAATGAAGGCGAGAACACACGATGAACAATGAAGGCGAGAACACACGATGAACAATGAAGGCGAGAACACACGATGAACAATGAAGGCGAGAACACACGATGAACAATGAAGGAGGCTAGAAAGCATGATGAACAATGAAGGCGAGAACACATGATGAACAATGAAGGCAAGAACACACGATGAACAATGAAGGCAAGAACACACGATGAACAATGACGATGAGAACACACAATAAACAATGAAGACGAGAACACACAAGGAACAATAAAGGCGATAACATACGATGAACAATGAAGGCAAGAACACACGATGAACAATGAAGACGAGAACACATGATGAACAATGAATGCGAGAACACCCGATGAAGAACGTTGAAGGCGAGAACATATGATGAACAATAGAGGAGGCAAGAACACACGATGAAGAACCCCTCTCCTCCATCTTCCTCTACCCCCTCCCCTCTTCCTCTTCATCCACCTCCTCCCTCCACTTCCTCCCCCTCCTCCATCTCCACCTTTTCCCCTCTTGTCTGCACTGCAACCCCTCCTTCCTCCACCTTCGCCCCTCCCTGCTCCTCTACCGTCTGCTCCCTCGCACCTCCTCCCTCCTAACCATCTCCACTCCTCCCCCTACCTTGCCACCTCTCTCCCCCCCTCGCTCCCTCCCAACCTCCTGTCCCCCCTCCTCAGCACCCTCCTCCTCACCCCCTTCTCCATTCTCCAGCCCCTCCTCTCTTTCACTTCCACCTCTCTCCACAGCCCCACACCTTCTCCCTTCTCTGCCTACCCCCCCTCCACCCGCTCCTCGCAACCTCCACCTCCACCACCTCCACCCTCCCCTCCTCCATCCCTCCTCCGCCCCCTACCCTCTTCTCTCATCACCTGCGTCGTCTGCTGTGCGGTGCGCCCCCTCCCCGCGGGCTCCCGCCGCCCCTGTCAGCGCGAGCCGCGTGCTCAGGTTAGCGCTGCTGACGGAGGCGAGCGCGGCAGACCGTGCGCTGGTGCGGATACGGCGGGCAGCCGGCGGGGTTGTTCATCGAGTTGTTCAGCAGGTTCGCGTTGTGAACGTAACGCCTCGCGTACAGGTGGCCGGGCGCCGTCTTGCGACCGTCAAAGGTCTAGAGGGGTCAAAGGTCAAGACAGGGGGGTCAAAGGTCAGTGGTGGGGATCAAAAGGTCAGAAAGTTGCGGGCTCAAAGGTTAAGGTTGAGGATCAAAGGTCAGGAAAGTTCGGGGCATCAAAGGTCAGGGGGAGGGATCAAAGGTTTAGGGGATCAAGGATTAGGGTCAAAGGTGCAGAAGTTGGGGGAGTCAAAGATCAGGGGTGACGAGGTCAAAGGTCAGAGGTCGCGATAGGCAGAGCGGTGAATTTTTTACCCGTGATATGGCAATTGGAACAGTTAATTGTAAAAAAAAGTCTTAATTGCCAACTGAACTCACTTCGAACTGTACCCGCTAACCTTTCTGCTGGTATCCACTAAATCAACTTGCGCCGAAGTAAGGTGGGGAACGAAAGTCCCCGTCACTTCGTGGGCTCACTGAGGAGTGCTGGCGCCCCCTGGCCCCTGGGCTGCTGCTGCGGCAGGCAAGCAGGCGGCGGCGGCTGCTGGCTGTGACATCCTCGTCGAGTCCGGCGCTCTACTGGTAGCGGCTCGCGGCGATTGTACGACAGCGTGGCGACGTGTGCGTGCGCAGTACACCGCTCCTGCAACGGACCGAGCGAGGACCAAGCGTGACGCTGGCCCACCGTAGCGGCAGCGGTGACTCCGGCATTATCCTAGCGCACGGTGACGCGGCGGCACCTACAGCACGGTGACTCGGGGCCATACCTAGTCGGCACGGTTACGCCGGCGCCACCTAGCGCACCGGTGATGCCGCGCCGACTAACCCCACAGGTGATGCCATCAATAGTGCAGAGATGCAACACATAGGCAGAGCGAGCGTTATGCCGACGCCACTAATGCACCGGAGAACAACAACAATCCGCATAGCACGTGTGCGTGGTTGCAGCACATGCCCAACGCCACACCCGGGGCCGCCACCTCACAGCTTACGCTCCGTACGGCGTGTCTAACGGCCACCAGGGGGCGCCACCTCACAGCTTACCGTCCGTACACCGCATGCTAACGCCACCCTAGAGTCCCTATATACAGAGAGTGCGCCTAGACGAGTCGGAAAAAAATCGCACGTGATCGCTGCCGCATGGTTGTTTACCAAACTGGATCAACACCTGCGCCTTAAAGGCATAATTCGAACCATCGATATGCCAAATTGGACGAATGCTACAGTTAACTGCACTGTGTAGTAATACAGTACATTACCTTATAGCCAAACGCGTATGTAAGTTTGTCCAATATACTGGCTAATTACTAAGAAATGTCTAATTTGAAATCCGTAAATTTTGTAATCTGGCGACACGCTAAATTTATTGCAAACAAAATAAACATTCGATTCGGTTCGGTGACGTCACATGTTGCTAGAGATGTTTGACGCATCGAATTGATCTTGTCCCGGGTAAATTGTTTGGGGGCCTAGTGTTAGTTATGCCTAGTTGCCAACATATTCTATGTTTGCTGTAATCTCAGAGACTCGTATTAATTCATTTATTCGCGAATCCCCAGCGTAAAACCATAACGTACGGAAGCGCAGCCTCAGACTACAAGGATGCCGACAAATCACTGACGGCCAGAGCATACGGCGAAAATGTCCGGTGCAACTAAAA